TATTGGTATGTTCACCGCCCACGATATCATTTTTATATTTTTATGCCGAGTTGTCTACTTTCCAGTCTCGCCCATGTATCAATGGGAAAATAAAACTCTACACTTTTCATCAAGATTCTAGTACTCGCTACGTGACTAATGGTTTCATTATCGATTAAACAAATAGCTTTTTACAATATCACCTTCTGACAAGAGATGTAGCTACTCGGAATGTGGCTTGTCGGCGAGACCATACGACGTAAATACAAAAACATCGGCGACAGCTTCTGATCATACTTTTCACATAAAATTATGCTGACAGTTACATACCACTCGAATCACATACGACGTCAAAATCACCACGGACTAGAAGATAAAAGGGAAACATCGTAGATTCCGTAGGATACATGCCAATAAAACAGAGTGCCTGTTTTCTTGTTGAGATCCTCACGACGCACATCGCTTTGTTCCTCAAAAGAGATGGGGACAGATCCGAAATCCATAGGATTGCCGTACCAACTGCATGAACCCCCACCGTGGATAGCACATCCATACGAGAACCCTATTGCTGGCAAATCGGCCATCGATAGGCGTCCAGTACGAACCTGACCGCTAGTTTCCTAGTAATCTACCCTCCTTCCGGGCGATGTCCAAGTCGGCAGACATTCTTAGCAGGAACAATCCAGTGACATTGTTCGCCCGAGTCCCAAGTCTCCATTTAGGAGACCTAGTCCTTCTGGCTGGGTTCGTCGGCCTTGATGGCAGCCTCTTCGCCCATGGCCGACTGAATAGTGATGACTAAAAACTGTTAGTTTAGACCCGGAATAGAATTGGCGACAACTTACTGAGGGGGGTGCCGTTCTCGTCGGCAGCCGTGATCTTGTTGCCGATTTCACCCTCAGGCAACTTGATGTCGCTTCGCTCCTCGCTGGTGTTGATATCGTGCAGGACAATGAAGTCATCCTCCAAGTGGGACTATAAACCAAGCAGGTCAGCGTGACCCTAGGAATAACCAACATAGGCGGTGGAGGGATATGCTCACAAAGTTGTACTGCTTGGTCTTGACAACGGGAACCTCCATGTTGTGGGTGGAAGGGCAAAGTTCCTCAAGCTTCTTGCCGGTGAAGATGTCGATGCCAACAAGATGGACCTTGGCGTGACCGTGCTTTCCAGTCTTGGAGGTGGACATGTCGACGATCTTGCAGGGGCGGCCCTTGATGACGACGGGACCGTTCTTGCGCAAGGCAGAGCATTGCATGGGGAAGGTCGCGGACGCACCGGCGTCGCCCTGGTTGTCGATCTCGAACTGCGGGGAGGTAGAGTCGTCAGCATCATGATGGTATATCGCCTCCGACAGCGGTCGCAAGCGTCAAGGTATAGAAAATATATGTGCGCGACAGCAATATAAACGTAGCCATATAGCTACATGGCTACATCGCGGGGTTCATTGGCGATGCGTGCACCCTGCGTACACCATGCGTAATGCGTGATGCGGGGTGGTTAGGTACGAGCCCGCCGCCCTTGCGATCGCCACCAAAAAAAAAGAGGGACATGATGCTGCTTGAACTTACCTCGTCCGCCATCTTGAAGGATTGACCGAAGTGAGAGTATTCCTGTTGATAAAGAGTAGGAAGAAGATGCGCAGATGGCTCGGTAGGTGTCCAAGTCCGAACTTGAGTTGACGGACTACTTGTAGAAAGGAGGGGAGGTTTCTGGGAAGAGTGAGAAGATCTAGAGGAGGGGGTAGAAAAAAGTAGAGAGAGGGATTGTCAAAGGTAAAAAGACGGGATTTTTTTTCTTCCAAGATCAATTGGGCACACAGTTTACGCGATACCTGATAGGCTGATTGGCTCGAGGTCTTGCCATTAGCCCCAGCCCCCGTAGCCCTTTCTCTGGCACGGTACACATATTGTTTTTGTACCTGTTTGGCGGGGTTCGTTCTGTGGGCCGTTAGGCATGTATATGCCTAGACCAGCCTAGGCGGCCATTTTGCAAATAATATAGCGCTGATTCACTTTTCTTGTAGCGCCCACGGCCTACATAGTCATAGTGCCTGTTCAACACATAGTGGGAAGTTTTAAGGTTTCTAGGGAGTAATAGCCCCTCTTGTGATCGTAAATAGTGTTTGGAGGGGCGAAACTTTTGACTGTGCATTTTAATACAGTACCTACATGTAGGTACCTACCAGATGCAGCCAGCTTGCTGCCACAACCCTCTACTGGAATCTTTGGTCCTCCATCCCAACATGGATGTGTATTGTATGGGAACAAAAAATTGCGCGCCTTTGCAGATGTTCTAATTGATACTAACGCCCTATTGGGTACGTGCTGGCCTGTTTGTATGTACAGCTACTTAGACATATAGCCAGTCTCGTGTGGATAGCGCTGTATAGACATGTACTTTCAACTCCGTCATTTCCAAAAAGCTAAAATGTGACCCACCTCTGAATCTTATCAAGAGCGTGACCGTGTCTTATTCCGTTCCCGTACTTTAGGTATACTGATCTAACCAGATATGGTACTAGTTGTTTCTCAATGACATGTGTCTAGAGCTTTGGCCAATCATCGACTTCCATCCCGCGACCCGGAAGAGGCTGTGGCACGGCCTCGTCTTTCTGGAAGTGACTTCGACATAACATATCGTGAACTAGACCTAAAGGCGCCTTCTCTCCTTTTTTATTGATTCTTTAGCCTTAATCGAACCACCTCTCTACTGTTAGCTTGTCCTTACAGGCCATAGCTAACCAAAGTCATGACGCCGCCCGACTCATAGTCGACCCCCCGTTTCCTTCTCCCATTTAGAATATGTGGCTCGATCGGCTCGCCGGTCAGTCATCGTCTCCCTCTTCCTCCCAACCGGGAAGCCGCCCATACTCTCCCGCGCCGCGAAGAACCCCGAGCGGCCTTGGCCCGTATATTACGTCACAACAGCGACCTGGTCTCACGCCGAGATCGTCGTCGCTTTCGTTGGCATCTACCGAATCTTCCGCGTCTTCCTTCTTGGCATCTTCCCGCAGGGCCAATGGCTCGGCATTGAAAGAATCAAGCACAGTATACACCGGGCCTGAACCTGTAGAGATTCTCAACAAGCTCCTGGGTGATGAAAAGCAACATGCCGCATCCGTCAATAAGTCGGCGGCTAACTCGGTCAGCTCGATATCGGCTGAGGATCTCCAGCTTGAATTTGACTTTGGCGGGTTATCTATGCGAGAGTTAGCATTATCAGAGGACTCGGCAGTAAATGGTGTCGGTATATATAGACCGCAGGCAGCTGAAGAATGTATGTCTCTTTTTAACCCTAAGCTTCGACGCCTATCATGCTTATGATTCTAGACGAACGAGACAAGGCAAAGTTCGAGGACTTACACCGATCGATCCGAGCTTGTGACGAGGTATTGAGCTCGGTGGAAACTAATTTGACGAGTTTTCGAAACGACCTTGCTACAGTTTCTGCAGATATCGAGACTTTACAAGCGCGATCGACTGCCCTCAATGTGCGGCTGGAAAACCGAAAGGCAGTAGAGAAGGGTTTAGGACCGGTGGTTGAGGAGATCAGTGTGTCGCCGACGGTAGTGTCCAAGATTGCTGAAGGTCACATAGACGAGGCATGGGTTAGAGTTGTTGCCGAGATCGACAAGAGGGCTACCGCACATAAGAAGAGCACATCGAGTGCACAAGGCAGCAAAGGTCTGCAAGATCTCGGCCCTCTACTAGAGAAGTTGGTTCTCAAGGCCGTCGAACGAATAAGAGACTTTCTCGTTGCTCAAATTAAGGCCCTTCGGTCACCGCATATCAACGCCCAGATCATCCAACAACAAAATTTCCTTAAATTCAGGGATCTTTACTCGTTCCTCTATAAATATCATGTCGCCTTAGCCGACGAAATATGCCTGGCATATATGAACACTATGAAATGGTACTACGCCAACCAATTCGCACGCTATGAGAATGCTCTCAAGAAAATCAAGCTACACTCCTTGGATAAGACCGATGTGCTTGGTAATGAGGATACATCACGCAAAGGTACTGTCCTCTCAAGTTCGAAAATTGCTGGTCCACCTCATGACGCCTTTAACTTGGGTCGACGTGTCGACCTTTTGCGCACACACAACCAAAGTGCGCTCTCTTCTTACCTGGCGGAAGAAGACCAGTCGACCCATTATCTCGAAGTGCCTTTTCGGAACTTCAATCTCGCCCTCATCGACAACGCCACAGCCGAATACACATTCCTCGCGTCGTTCTTCTCACCCGCCCTCAGCTATTCCACCATCTCGCGCCACTTTACTTACATATTCGAGCCGACGTTTCAGCTAGGCCATACCTTGACGAAAACCCTTATCTCTGATACCTATGATGCTATCGGAGTCCTTCTTGCGGTGCGCCTTAACCAACATTTCCAGTTCGAGCTGCAGCGGCGCAAGGTACCCGCCGCGGACGGATACCTCAACGGAACGGCCATGCTCCTCTGGCCGCGCCTCCAGTTTGTCATGAACGCGCACTGCGAGTCCGTCCGCACGCTCACCACGTCGCTGCCGACACGCCCGCCCACTTCCAAAACGGAACAGGGCAAGCTGTCGGCGGCGCCGCATGTCTGCACCCAGCGGTTCGGGCAGCTCCTACACGGGATCTTGGCCCTGAGCACTGAGGCTGGTGACGACGAGCCTGTGGTCGCGAGCTTGAGGAGGCTGCGCAACGAGATGGAGGCGTTCCTGACCAAGTATAGTATGGTCTTCGGCAACGACAGGAGGAAGAGGGAGCGCTTCTTGTACAATAATTACAGCCTGATCTTGACGATTATTAGCGATACGCACGGCAAGTTGGCTGCAGAGGAGCAGGATCATTTCGAGGGGCTGAAGACGGCTTTCCAGGAGGCTGCATAGATTGGAAAGTAAAACTTCTGACGGATCATCAGGCAGATCACCTCGACTGGCCGGGCAAACAAGCATATAGGTGTCAATAATGTATCGATGATCATCATAAGTGTGCTAGGCAGCTGAGAGAAGGCTGCAAAGCGGGTACAAGGGGCGTGTAACTCAGTGGTAGAGTGCTTGCTTCGCACGCCTTGCGCGGAGATTGCGAGAAGTCCAGGGTTCAACTCCCTACTCGTCCAAACCTGTTCTTTTTTTCTTCGTACCTAGGTACCTAGCCTATGTGCGCTTCCGTTCACAAGGATGAGTGGCTTACTAGCTATGGTATCAAAATTCAATAGTGTTAGGATATAAAGATTAGGGTAGGGCAGTCGAAAATGGGTCCGTCCTGTGTGCGGGTTCGTGGCGGTGGTATAGTTTGCTACAAATCTACGATGATATAGGTAGCTCAGGAACTACATATGTAACTCTTCAAGAACAAATCTTGTCAAATTCTTAGAGATTCTTCGTATTGTATTGGAAGCGCGTGCTAGTGCTACAGTCCTTAGCATCTCTAAGTCGACAATCCCCAGTGCCTTCCATGTCTTCTAACCTAACCGTAAGCCTATCCACCAAAACCGTGTTCTAACTCGCGAGTTGCGCAGTACAAGTTCCAATTCCCTAGTCGACATAAAATATAGGAACTCGTGAGGTAGGTTAGGTAAGTACTTATCTATACAATCCCTCGTAAAACCGCGAACCCAATAACGCCCATCCGCACTCTACCATGCCGCCCGGAATCCTAAAAGTAGCGGCTTGGAATCGACCACGATACGAGACTCGTCCAGATCGGCGCTTTCCGGAAATACACGGCGCTGACACCGATAGCCACGGCTAGGATCACGGTCCTGTTGGCCCACACGGCCTTGAGTGCCTTCTCGCGCCTCTCGGCCCACCTGAGCTCATCGTGCTGCCTCTCGAAGTACGCACGCCCGTCCTCGAGGCTCTGCGCAGCGCAGGCGCGCACGCTCCTTGCAGTCTTCAGGGAGCTGGCGCCCGAGATGGAGCGCCAGTTGCGCAGAGTCTCGGGTGGGTGGCGGTCGAAGAGGCTCGCGGCGTCGGTGATGACTGCCTCGAGGTCGAGGTCCTGGGGCAGCTTGGAGAGGGTGAAGTGCAGCATGTCGGGCTCGTCGTGGCCGAAGAGCTCGTCGCGGCGGCGCAGGACGATCTGCGCGAATATGTAGAGCGTGAAGACCTGCTCGCGGGCCAGGAGCACGTCGAACAGGCGCGCGATGTCGCTGTACCGCTGCACGTTGTGCGCGAACATAGTCAGCGTGTCCGACAGCGCGAAGTACGGCTCGATGCGCGACAGGTGCGCGCACAGCGCCGGGTCCACGGCGTTCAGGATATCCGGGATCAGCCTGAGCTGCGCGACGGCCGGCGTCAGGTTGGGAAGCATGAAGTCCCGGATGCGCAGGGCGGACAGGCGCGCCACGGCCGCTGCGCGCGCGGCTGGCGGTAAGACCAGCAGGAATACCTGGCAGATGTCATGGTAGCCTTGGAAGTAGCAGAGATACGGCTGCCGCCGGAGGACCTCGGTGATGAGGTCTGAGAGCTCGGATTTCTTCAGGTCCAGTTGCGCCTGAGTATCGTCTGCCTAGCGAGATTAGTGTCGTGCATGAAGTGGCTGACTTATTAAGGGGCGAGTATCCTGTACCATTTGGGTAGTAGACGAAGCTCCTGTCGACGTCCAGCTTGACCTGATCCTCGTCTCGATGCCGCTCCATGTGCCTCCACGAATCGGATTTCTCCTTTTGTTCCCCGGCGTCGTCAACGCGGAAACCGAGAAGTACCGGCCCTATTGAAGAACCTTGAGCCTCATGACCCCCATTTGATAGGGGGGTGAGCGGGACGGGATGATGCGTGGAGGTCACTTACATGCTTGGCGACGAATGGCGTCGGAGAGGAACCCGCCTCTCGATACTGCTAGGACCTGGAGATCGTCGATGTCTCTCCGCATGCATGCACCCAAGACGCGGGCTTGCTCACCAGCTCGTAAGGACGCGTCGTGATCTGCACCCGCGCTGTCTTTCTCCTCTCTGCCGTCGACGTCCTCATGTTCCCAGGAGGCCATGGGGGATGGATCCACTTGGACCTCGCCTTTTCTGATACTGCACGTCAGGTTGCCTCACTTAGTGGCGTCGTGCGACCGTATGAACAAATAGCAAGCCGCCGCCCTAGCAGGGTCGCAACTGTGGTATCTGAGAACCATGCAGCGAGATGTACTCAAAATATGCCCCCTTTTATCTGCAACACTATCCCACGGGGACAAAATCTCGGTACGAATAAAGCCGGCGTACCTAGGCGATGGGAATCTCGCCGTAGGCAGGTCCAAACTCGAATGAGCTTATCTACCCTATCTATCCTTAGGTCGATGTTCGTTTGAGATGGGCAGCGTATAACTTCAAGTAGTTGAAAAAGAAAAGAAGTGAACGTTCGATGTTCTCAACTCGTCGGGTGCAACGTGTAATGTAATGTTTTAATGTTAGATTTGAGCCAACTGGATGAGAACAAGTAACGGGATTCGTAGTTGAGGGATCAAAGGTTTGGCAGCTGGCCGGGGAACTGGGGTGGATCGTCCCGTCCGGTGTCCTATTACCCCCTGTGCCAACCTAATACCCTTGCGGCCGCCTTCTATAGCGTGCAGAAGCCAGGGTGCGGCCCCGGCCCGGTGTGCTACAGCACTAAAGCCACCTAAAGACGCGGCATGAGTGTCTTTCGTAGGTATCCATTGTACTGGTACATAGTGTCATGCATCCGTGTCTTTTACTTCACTCTTGGTCAATGAATGACTTTACACGTTTGTCTCTCTGTATTCATGTTATTCGTTATAGGTAGCGAGATGACTATATAGATTTCTGAAAATTAAATATGTAGCTATATCTACTATATACCTACGTTAGGAGCCTAGGAGGTACCTAACTTGAGATTGCTGCGGTTAACAAAGCTATTGTCTCGCTCGAGTTCCATAATCTGATTGTCGCCTCTTGGACGTGAAAACCTGAGCTAGACAAGGATTCTATAACGACACCCGACCATGCTTGGCATTCAAGTTAAAGCTTATAAGGCTGAGATATGGAGGTTTCAGGTACCTAGTATAGATCAACTTAGATAGGTACATATGTTTGGATATATCTATATACCCACCTAAGTATACACCAGAAACTTGATATTAAACCATGTTTAAATCGAATATCTTTATTAGGCTTATACGAAGTGTCGTGTGCTATAAAAGTATTTCGCTAGGAATGTACGATGTGTCAGAGATCACATCTGTCTTGTTATATATCACAATCTTTTCGTCGATCTTAGATCGTAACCACTCTTTTAATAATTGATCTATTCTCAACCACCACAACCGCCACATACAACTTGTCGTCGCTTAACTACCGTTAGGCCATACGCCGAGCTAGGCGTTAAAAGACCTTACAGTCTCTCACGCAACCCTGACAACTATCCTACAAACCGTAACATGTTTTGTTTCTTACACTTGGCTACGTTTCTAACCTATTAGCATTAGATTTCTATTTTCACTTATCTTTATGTGATTCTTATAAGAAAGATACCTTCATTATTATCGACAGCTGACGGGTTTCTTCTGCAACTATCGTTCGTTAACGATACCGGGTGAGATATAAGTATGTACCTGGTAGCATTGAATAGGAACTAAGGTGTGTGGGTACTTATATAGTACCTGCATACATGCATGTGTACGATGAGACTGGCAGACTAGGAACGTTAACCCCTCAATGCTGCTTAAATTCCAACCTTACTGTCCCTCCTATCAAGGTAAATGTACGCAATCAACTTCCTCCGTACCTACATGATTTAGGTATAAAACTTGCTCCTATAGGCGCCTCCCGCTGTACCTACCTAGGTACATACCTCCTACTTACATACCTTACATATCCATACAGACCTATCTCATAAGACTTGGCTTATGCACCTCGGATTGGGAGAGAAACGCGAACATATCTACTGGGCCAAGCTTGAAGGCACGCGACTGATTGCTTCCCCGCATCATTTAAAAAGATACCGCAGCTCCAAAGTCCACTAGACAGATCTACATGTGGCCAGGCCTCTTTAATCGCTAATACTCAAGATTTAGGTCTCGATTCAAGCAAGGCAAAGTGGACGCCATTTCCCCTTGGAAATAAATACGTCTAAATATCAGATACACACCCACTCACCCACTCACTCACCCACCCTGGTTGTGATCAACCTTGGAGGTCAAGAAGCTCGGGAAAGACGTTCAAATCGTTCTTCAATGCTTAACTTGGTATCTACCTAGGTACCTAAGCACATAAGTTACTCAGCTGGAAGACTTGAATCTGGTTTCGGAGCCACCCATGCACTCAACGGTTCTCTTTCAGTGCCTCCTAATCTGCAAGGCTGGGTCTTGATTTCCATCCTGTCCGGAATTTATTCGACACATCATCTTTGGATTTTGCGGCTTCTCGAGTCCCAGTCTCATATCGCCAAGGTAGACCTTGGCCTGGGTACGGCCACCACCGCGGCATCGTCTTAGTTGCATATCAATGGCCTTGAAGCAGCTTCAACGTCAACTACAAACACGCTCTACATACCTAGCTTCTCGGAACTGTGGATTGCCGACCTGGAGCCGTGACAGTATTATACAGCGTATCTTCCGGCTGTACTAGCCATAGTAAACTTCGTTCAGAATACAATCACGCCTATCGAAAATGTCGCTCCAAACTTACGTCCTCGAAAACGACGAGTGGGTGTCTCGTACAATCTCTGCCGATGAGCTCATGAGAGGTCACAGCTCCTCGCAACGTAAGACGGGGAGGCCGCCACTTTCAAAGCCACCAACGTGTGGTCTGCTCACAAGAACAATTGTCGACAGTCCTGTCATCAGATGGGTTCTTCCCGTGCAGCTTCGATCAGCCCGCTACAACGATGTTGCATTGATTGGTGTAAGTGCCCTTTCCACTTTCTGTACTTCCTCTTGCTCCTACAGTATCCGGTGCTGCTTTAAGAACCGGCAGATGACTTGAGGCTCTCCAATCCTTTCTCCCAAGTCTATGCTGCACGGGCATCGTCGTTCTCGGGATGTAAGGGGCAAAATTTATAACACTTTCCCCCTTTTTCTTCATGGGCCGACGAAACCCCCCTACATACTGTGTCTAGTGTTGACCCATCTTGTATTCTGACTTGCAGCTAGGATCACTGTGTTCAGATA